CGGACATTCCGATCCGTCCCCCCAAGACGGCCCCGGAGACCGCCAGCAGGGGGATGGCGCGAAAAAAACGGCCCCCCCAGCGCATCAGCTGACGCGACCGCGTAGGCGTGGCCCGCCAGCGACCCGAGTGTAACTGCGGACCCGTAGTCGGGAAGGACGCGAAGGCGCGCGGGGGGGGGGGCGACGGGCGGGTGTCGGTACGCCGCCCTCCCCGCGGACAGCACGAGACACAGGGGGGACCCCCCCCGCCAGCGCTGAGAAGCGCCAATCCACGGCCAGCTTACCAGGTTAGCACGCGGGGCGCGGGCAGCAGCGCTGAAGGCTGCCGAGAAGGTGAGCGAAGGGCCTGCAGGGCCACCAGGGCAGCCGGCACCGCGGGGGGCGGGATCACGCCTGGGGTGCCCGCCCGGAGGGGCAGAGCGGGCCGCGGCGAGAAGTGTGGCCCAGAACTGAAACAACAAGGGAGCCCATTCACCCCCGCCTACAGTGGGGGCCCGACCACAAGAAACCTTCCACACAAAAAAACACAGCCCTGAGACCCCAGGACGTCAATGGATTTCTGGTGCGGGAGCGTCGCGCTGCCCCTGGCAAAACCATCGAAACCCGAGAGATCCAGGGCACCCTGGAGGCAAGCAGGGTGCTTCTCGGCATGGATCTCCACTGTAACCTCCCTGCCCTTCCCGTGGGGGGCAAGGGCCACCCGGATGGGTTCGTCCCAGGAGAGCCCCAGCGGGAAAGGCACTCCGAGCAGCAGCGGTCGCGGCGCTCTGGGAGCCACGACGCACACCGCGAAGCCCTGCTGGGCTCAGGGCCCGGGCGGCGGGCCCGCGTCGGCTTTGCCCACCGTGATGGGTGGCGCTGGCGCCGCTATCGGGTGCCCCCGTGCGCCGCTGCTGCCTGGAGGTGGGCCGTCGGGAACTGCTGCTCGCGGCGCCGGGCCAGTGGCAGTGACGTGCCCATTCGCTGGACCAGGCCTGCTGCTGCGGCGGGGGGCCGCCGGTCGGGCAGCGGCGGCCAGTCATCCGGGTCATCCGCCGTCAGCGTCGTCCTCGTCGTGGTTGTCAGGCGATCCTCCGAGACCGATGGGGTCTTCGTGTTGTGGGTATCGGAGGGGTCCTCGCCTTCAGGTGAACTGCCCGCGTCGATGCGCCGCAGCGGTCCCCCAGGTGGGGGCGGCGGGGGGCCGCCTACAGAGGGGTGGGTGCACATGGCCCGCAGGTACCCTGGCGTGTAGCCTCAGGTCGGGCCTGTCCCCCTACAGGAGGATTCTGAACGAAAAATAAAGATAGTCAAAAAATACCCCAAAATGATCAAAAATGGTTCAAAAATGGTCCCCATTATATTTTTGATGACTATTTTTGTAGATTCCACTTGTAGAGGGACAGGCCCGACTTAAGCGTAGCCCGCACGGCGGTGAGGGAGCAAGAGGGTACGGCGCCGCTTGTCGTAGGTGGCCACTGCTGTTGTGTGCAGACCACCACCAGCATGTGGTGATCCCTGGTACGTGTGGCAGCGTCCTGCGTGAGCGTGTGCTGGAGGACGCCCTGTGTGGCCAGTTCATCGGCCTTGCGGTTGATGTACTCCGCAGTGACGGAGTTGAACCCTGCCTCGATACCTTCGTCTCCGAGGCGACTACCAAGTTTTCCACTCCGAAGAATTCGAGCTTGGGCTGGACAACGCGATGGATCTGGTCTCAGAGGTCCGCGTGAGTTCCCACGGGTGGAGGGAAGTGGTCTTTTAAAGACGGCTGAAACCGTCAACAACGGCCGCATTGTCAAGGAAGACGTGAACAGGCCGCTCGGCCGAAGCCACCAGGTAGAGAAGGGCCAGAGAGAAAGCCCGCTGGGCAGACTGGGCAAGCCCATGCACGCGGGCAGCGTGGTTTAGGCGGTGGTCCGCGCCGAAGAAGACTCCGTAGGCGGCTCTCGCAAACAGCGAGTGAGCCCAGCTGAAGCAGGCTCCGTCTGTGGCAACGTACACCCAGCGGACCGGGTATGCGGATCAGAAAGAGAAACAGAGAGAGGGGGGGGCAGAAAGTGACTGAGGGACAGAGAGACTGAGAGACTCAGATGGAGACTCACAGACTGAGAGACTGAGTGAGGCTGAGAGAGACTGAAAGACTGAGAGTCAGAGAGAGACAAAGAGAATGCGAGAGACTGAGAAAGCGAGGGAGCGAAAGAGCAATGTAACGAGAAACTGAAAGAGGCAGCTACATGTAAGAAGAATGCGAAATAGACAAAATAACGAGATAAGGAGAAAGCGAATTATAGGACGAGGGATCATAGAATGCGAGAGTGGAAAACACAAGAACGAGTGAAGTATCCTGCCGAAAGACCAAACCAGATGCAATTGTGAGTACCGCGTTCTGGGTACCGACAGCTTTCGGTGGAGCTCCCGTTGGGGCCAGGAAACGTGTCAAGGGTGTGCCGACATGGGCGCGGTGGTGCCATGCGGGCGCTGCCCTGGGGCCTTCGGTGGAGCTCCCTACGGTGCCTCGAAACGTGCGAGGGGTGTGCCGCAACGAGTGCGGTGGTGCCATGCAAGCGCAGCCACTGGGGCCCTCGGTGGAGCTCCCTTCTGGGTCGCAAAGCGTATGAAGGGTGTGCAGAAATGAGCGCAGCGGTGCCATGCGGGCGCTGCCACTGGGGCCCTCGGTGGAGTTCCCTGCGGGCCACGAAACGTGTGAGGGGTGTGCCTGCACCTGTGCGATGATGCCATGCGAGCAAGGCTACTGGGGCCCTCGGTGGAGCTCCCTATGGGGCCACGAAACATGCGAGGGGTGTGCCAACACGGGCGCGGTGGTGCTATGCGAGAGCAGCCACTGGGGCCCTCGGTGGGGCTCTCTATGGGGCCACAACACGTGCGAGGGGTGTGCCGACATGGGCGCCGTGCTGCCATGCGAGCGCAACCACTGGGGCCTTCGGTGGAGCTCCCTATGGGGCCAAGAAACTTGTGAGGGGTGTGCCGACACGGGTGCCGTGGTGCCATGCGAGCGCAGCCACTGTGGCCCTCAATGGAGCGCCCTACGTGGCCACGGAACGTGTAAGTGGTGTGCGGAAACGGGGGCGGTGGTGCCACGCGAGTGCAACCACTGTGGCGTGCGGTGGTACGGGGCCACGAAACGTATGAGGGGTGTCTCGAAACGGGCGCGGTGGTGCCATGCGGGCGCAGCCTTTGTGGCCTTCGGTGGAGCTCCCGATGGGGCCACGGAACGTGTGAGGGGTGTGCCGAATGAGGTGCGGAGGGCAGAAGTTGAGATGGGAGGAGGGAGGAGGGGGAGGAGGAAAGAGTGAGGGACGAGGGGCGCTGTCTCCTCACAATGAGGACCCGACACCACAGCATGGTTGGGAATGGTATAGAGTGGTGAAAAAACAGAGAGACAGAGACACAGAGAGAGGTATGTATTGATAGGACAATGGGTCGGGCAGCGATGGGCGGAAGAACCTCACGCCAGATGAGGTGGGAGGTGAATGAGGTTCCTAAGCCTCCTCTTTCTCGTCATCCTCGTACCTCTCCTGTCCTCCCCGTCCTCTTCGTTCGCCTCCTTCTCGACCTCCTTTTGTCCTCCTGCTCCCACGCCTCGTCGTCCTGTTATTGCGCCTTCTCCTCGCCCCTCTCCTCATCATCATCTTGATCCTGAGTATCCTTCTACTTCCACTCCTCCGTCCCCCTTCCTTATGAGCAGCTCCTCCTCGTCGCAACACGAAAAACGTGTCGGCAGAGCGGGCCGGGCAGTGCGCCCGAGACGTCCTCACCACTCACGACACTGAAGCTCACAATCCCCAGCAGACACAGAGATGGGAACGCGCCTTTTTTAGAAAGGCGGCTCTGATCCTGACGCCGCGCACATTGGCTGTCAAAGCCTCCAATAGCCAGAAGGATGGAGGGCGTGTCTTTCGCGCCTTAGCGCCGCGCCCGTTCGACGTAAACTCTGCCACCAGTCAGGAGGACGGAGGGCGTGTCGTTTCCAAAAGAGGCCTCTCGCCGTAGCGCCCCGCACACTCGTCGCAGAAGCCTTCAACAGTCTGAGAGATGGGGGGCGGCCCACTTCCAAAATGATGGTCTCGCCTTGGGGCCAGACACAGTCGTCCTAAGAACATCACACTGATACTATGACGGAGGCCGGGTTGCTTGCAGGATGCGGCTGTCGCTCCAAACTTCGATTGGAAAGAGCAGTGGACGCATGGCCAAATACGAGGAATGTATGACTCGGTTACACGGATGGATCACAACGGGTTTTCAAAAAGAGGCGTGTACTTGGACTCAGATTGATCATACAACCATCAGTTGTGAAACATGTGAAAATGATTCGTGAAACATGCGGTCAACGTTAACACAGACCTCTCGCTCAACATGTCTTCAGAGAAAATGACCCGAAGAACCATCAACTGGCACCCACGCTGGACACTTCCTTGGATTGCCTGGTTCTACCTCTCCCCACATTTTACCAAGCGGCAAGGATGCAAAAACATGCGGCGCCCTTCTCTCAGGGGGGGCGCCTCGGGCGGTGAAGAGGACTGCTCGTGTGGAACCCGTGGGGGCCAAACCTGGGACGTAAAGGGCACGCTGCAGCATCGCTGCCGGCACACTGGGCCAGCCTGCTGCAGCGCTCGCTCCAGGCACGTGTCAGCGGCGCCCGCTGCCGCGGCGCCCGCGGCTCACCGCGAGGCTGTCGAGGAGGCAAACGTCCGCCCACCATCCCCCCCCCCTGCCTCCGACCTGGATGGGTCTGGCCCTCCGCATCCTCCTTGAGACGACGCCAGGACGAGGACAAATTCGGGTGAGGATGCACCGGCAATCTCTGAGATCCAGCGGTTCTGGAGGATGTATCGGGCTCCGCGGCCTTCTCGGAGCGCTCTGGAACGCTCTGGGAGCGTTCCGGAACGCTCTGGAACGGACTCGTCCTCGTCCTAGCCCCGTCAGGCTCCCTCGCGTCCCCCGCTGGGGCGCCTCGCGATCGTGGGACGCCAAAATCTTCTTGTTGGTGTGCACCTTGAGGCCGCAGAAATTCTGGAACTTCAGGCCGTTGACCAGCTGGCCATCCAGAGTCCCTCAAGGCAAGAAGACAAGGGGGGGAGAAAAAACGGCAAGGAATCGAAGTGGACCTGGGGGAAGCGGCGCCAGAGGAGCAGGGGGTAGAGAAGGAGAAGGAGGAGCAGGATGATCAGGAGGAGTGCGAGGAGGAGGGGGGTGGAGTGGCAGGAGGATGGAAGAAGACTCACCCCACACACCTGCTCCAGGGAGGGGTCGAGGATCACTCTGGCCCCAGTGTTTTGGTGCGCTTATTGCCGGCGATTCGGGCTGTCCAAGGACTTTTGTTTAGCACAGGAGTGCAAGAGGCACCCTGAGAATAAGGACTCGGCACGCTCGCTAGACCTCCTGAAGCGGGGTATCGACTCCAGCACCAAGCGTGTCATCAGTCGACGCATCCCCAGCGAGGTCGTTTCTGCCCCCGCACCCCACTTGCCTCCGCACCCCCCCACCACTGGGTGTGTTTGACGCATGTGGCACCCCCACTGGAGCTTTAGGTGGAGCTCCCTATGGGGCCACGAAGCGCCGTACTGGGTGTGGCAGACGCATGTGGTACCCCACCTCCCCAAGGGGCCTTAGGTGGAGCTCCCGATGGGGCCACGAAGCGCTGCACTGGGCGTGGCAGACGCACGTGGTACCCCCCCCCACTCCTGGCCCGCCCCTCTGCTACTAGTCTCACACCGTGGGATATGATGGTGTAAGACAGGAGGATGGAGGAAGGAGGACAGGAGGATGGAGGATGGAGGATGGAGGATGGAGGACAGGAGGAGGGAGGACAGGAGCGTGGAGGATGGAGGATGGAGGATGGAGGACAGGAGGAGGGAGGACCGGAGGATGGAGGATGGAGGCAAAAACGGCAGGAGGGCGGAGGACCGGAGGAGCGGGGGGAGGCAGAGGTGGGAGCCACACAGGGGGGGGTGCGGGCGGCAGAGGCGGGGAGCAGGGCGAGGAGGAGCATGAGAACAGATGGCCTGGCGCACGGTGGCCGAGGGGAAGTAAAACCCGAGTAAGCTTAGGTCGGGCATGCCACCCTTCAGGCGGATTTTGGAAGAAACATTTGACATTGACATTTTTTTTGGTCGGCGGGGCGAGAGCGAATCTCTTCCGCTAAAAGCTAGGCGGGCTACGCACAATTTGAATTAGGGAGGCAGGGCACAGGCGGGCGGGGCCTCAGGCGGCCGGAGTGGGCGGGGCCCGGGGTGCAGGCGGTGCCGAAGAGCTTGCACAGGATTTGAAATAGTCACACACACACACATACACACCCAAAAAAAACAGTAAATCGTTCCCAGACTGTCTTTTGACTATTTTTGAATATTCCTCCTGTAGAGGGACATGCCCGACTTAAGAGTAAGCCCAGGGCACACCAGGTGATACCGCAGCACACCCTCCCGTCCCAAGTCCCGTAGCAACAGGTCCCTACAAGCACTCCTTATCACTACGGGCAGCCCCCCCCCCCGGCGGAAAGACGACAGCCCCACAGGCTCCCTTTTTTCCAAAGCGTCCTGCCCTCCGCGGGGGAACGCAGCCCGGCCCATCCCTGACGATGGGGGGTGAGGAAGACGAGGCGGAGGTAAAGAGAGGCGACAACACGTCCAACCCACCGAGCGGCACACAGCCGCGCAGCTCGCTACACTGCGCGCCCCAGTTCAGGATGACAAAGTCGTGCTGCACCGCTTGTACTGCCAGACGTCGCGAGGCTCCTGGTCCGAGCCGACGAAGCCTTGACCGAGCTCCGTCGAGGTATTCGAAGAGACCCTACTCTGTTTCAACTGTCTGGCAGGGGTGGCTGGAATGTCCCTCTCAACCCCTCTCTCATATCCTGGCTGCGCAAATTTTCCCCACGGGTACCATTGATCAACGGCCAATTGCCGTCAGTCCCTGGCGAGTGCCATAGCACTGGACGACGACGTCTCTTGGCAGTGTTCGCGAACCCTTCAATACCGTCATCTTCGCTCGTTCTTCTCGAGTAAAGAGAACCCTCGAGTCACTAGCCCTTGTGCCGTCAATGACGGAGGGCTAACCAAGGCCAATTTGAGCGGGAAGTACACTCGGTGGGGCGTCTGGAGCAATATCTTGATGACTCTTTGCTGCTTCATGGACTCTTCCGCGCTAGACGGGATCCGAACATTGCCAGAGTCAAACCTATCCTTCGCAAGTAAGTATTCACAGCGTTGGCAAAAAAGGCTGGCTGCCGATCCATATTTGCGTCATCATCCTTGTTCGTGCTGGGCGGGCATCCGAGTTTCATCACCAGTGGTGATGTCATCCTGGTCCGCTTCTCCCTCTTCGTCTTGAATTTTTCTGTGACCTACGGATTAAGATGGTCAATCCTAGCCTGACCTTCCGCTGAGATGTGGGTCCCATATGCTGTGACGTATGCCCCTGAACTTCTCCACTACTAATCTACCAGAGGTACTATCGCACGATCAACTTCCTGTTATTGGAACTGCTTCGTACCAGTCTCATTTTTACTTGGCAAACATGGCATTGATCGGGAAATAGGTCAAGCCCACGAAATCTAATCGCGTTGTCGCGACGATCTTCGTTCGCTCTCTGAGTCCCTTCCTGAATCATTGTTTTCTCTTCTGACTAGAAATCGCGCGAGTTCGGCCAGCACTACCACTGCCAGCTGCATTACGGCTGCGCTGAAAGCTGCCATCTTGGTCAACGCAGGGGACACCACCTTGCTTTCTTTCGAATGGTAACCTGTTTTTGGTGAGATAATCCAGACAACCTGTAAGATCACCAGACGCATGTGATGGTTTTCTCCATACTATCCTAACTCAGGGGATCACGATGCGCGCTGACAAAAAATGTGTGAGCCAAGCGCGCGGAAACGCGCGCGCGGGCAAGGCGGAAAAACGCAGGAGGGAGCGAAACGAATCGACTGGTTTGAAACGAGCGTGCGCGACACTGAGGCGAGAGTCACAGATAGAAAACCGACCGTCCTCGATCCTTCTAGCGTTGGGAACTTCAAGCGCCAGGTCCATACATGGTAAGAAGAACCAGGCGAAATGACCAGCCCGCACCACCAACATGCCTTATGGCGCGGCGAGGAGTAGTAACGTGTGGGAGAGAGGGATGGGGAAGAAAAAGGGAACCCAAGAAAATGACGAGGTGGAGGAGGAGGCAGCCTGATGTTCCCTCTCCTTCTCCGCCTCCCAGGAGCGCCTGTGACATCAATGACAGAGGTCGCATGGTCGCAATCCATCAGCACTGTTGCGCTGCAGTCCGGGGGGATGCTCATGAGGATATCCTGTCAAAGCGCAGCAGCGTGCTGCTTGTGCGGTGCAAACCACTTTTTGCAAACAAGTATCACACTCCCGTTCCTTCGCATCCTCCCATTCACCCCGAACAAACCACACACACACACAACCCACGACATCTCTTAGCCTCGCCCTCTTCGTCATGCTCTGTTCTACTCTCCACTCTCCCCTATCCGTCGCACTGCAAAAAAACAAACTCCTCCTCATCACCATCATCACCGTCACCATCACTGTCACCATCACCATCACCATCACATCATGATCGCCCTCACTATCACAATTGCCATCGTGAACGACATCGTGATGGTCGTCGTCGTCGCCCTTCTCTTACATCGACGCCGCCTCATCTGCGCTCGTTCACCCACCTCCTCCTCCTCCTCATCATCATCATCATCATCATCAGCAGCATCATCATCATCATCATCATCATCATCATCATCATCCTCCTCCTCCTCCTCCTCCTCCTCCTCCTCCTCCTCCTCCTCCTCCTCCTCCTCCTCTCCTCCTCCTCCTCCTCCTCCACCACCACCACCCACCACCACACCACCACCACACACATCACATCACATCATCATCATCATCATCATCATCATCATCATCATCATCATCATCATCATCATCATCATCATCATCATCATCATCATCATCATCATCATCATCATCATCATCATCATCATCATCATCATCATCATCATCATCATCATCATCATCATCATCATCATCATCATCATCATCATCATCATCATCATCATCATCATCAGCATCATCATCATCATCATCATCATCATCATCATCAACTTTATCCTCCTCTCCTCGCCCCCTTCCTCTTCCCCCTCCTCCTCATCCTCCTCCTCCGAGTCCTCCTCCTCCTCCTCCTCTTCATCCTCCTCCTCTTCATCATCATTATCACCATCATACTTACCAAAAGCTGTCATGAATGTCGCTGTTGGTCACCACTGAGTAGTCCCCGTCGCAGCCGTCGACAAAGTCCGTGGGCAATATAGCCTCCTCGTAGCCCTCATCCTCGAGGGGCTGAACTGGGAGGGCACCCTCTTCCAATCATGAGGCAAGCATGCGCGAAAGAGAGGAAAAGGGAAGCAGGGCGAGAAGGGAGGAGCCAAGGGAGGAGGGAGGATATTTTACTAGAAGCTTCCCCCTCGCCCGCGACCGTCTGGCGTTTCGCCCTGGCGACGCACTCCACCGTCCAGAGCGTCCTGCGCAGGATGCCCCGTGAGATGATGCTCGTCAGTGCACTCTCGGCCGGAATTAGGCTCGAACTCGCTGATCCCTTCGAAAGCCTAGCTCGAAGGTATGGAGACAGCCATCAAGAACGTCACCACATCCGTCACCACCTCTGGCGCCACTGCCTGCTCATCCATAGACTGGAGAAACTCGCGTAACTGCTCCTCCGTCCAGATGACAGACATTGCGGGAATCTGGAGGGATGGAAAAACGAAGAGGTGTGACGAAAGCGGCTTGAGCCCAAGTGGCCACCAGACCAGCGGATCAAGGCGACGGGACGTTAGCGGTACCACTGGAATCCCCCAGGCCCCTCAGCTCGCTGCTAAACCACCTCATGCAAGACCTTGAACGCCAAGAGAAAAAATAGCCAGCACCCCCATGGAGAGGATACACGATCACAGAGCTTGGGCAATGACGCCAGCAGGATACTCAACGAGCCAGGTGCTCAGGCTACACACGGAGGGCGGAAATGGCGAGAGAGGAGCAGAGAAGGAAGGCAGGAGAAAATAGATGGGAGGAGGGAGGAGGGGGGGAAACACTAAAAGAGCAGAACTGCGAGGATGAGCAGCAAGAGGGTGAGGGAGAAGCCTTCTACTCAAGATCCCCATGCCCATTATCCTAATCCTCCTCCTCCTCCTCCTCCCCGACCTCCTCGACTTTCACTTCGCATCCTGCACCTCATGCAAACCTCGTTCGCTTATCGCGAAACACCCTCGAGTGGTTTGCGGGAGGAACTGGTGACGAAGGGATGCGCGTGGCGTGGTTCCCTCTTTTCGCCGTCACGTACCCTCTTCCTTCTCGCCACGTTGAAATTGCCATTATACATCTGCCTTCACCTCTTTCTCCTCCTTCTCTTCCTCCTCCTCTTCCTCCTCCTCCTCCTACTACTACTACTACTACTACTACGACTACGACTACGACTACGACTACGACTACGACTACGACTACGACTACGACTACGACTACGACTACTACTACTACTACTACTACTACTACTACTACTACTACTACTACTACTACTACTACTACTACTACTACTACTACTACTACTACGACTACTACTACTACTACTACTACTACTACTACTACTACTACTACTACTACTACTACTACTACTACTACTTACTACTACTACTACTACTACCCTTACCTCCTCCTCCTCCTCCCTCCTCCTCCTCCTCCTCCCCCCCCTCCCCGTCCTCCCCCTCCACCTCCTCCTCCTCCTCCTACTCCTCCTCCTCCTCCTCCTCCCCGCTTTATCCTGGTCCTTCTCCTCCTCCTTCCTGCCTCTATTTCTCTCTATCTTTCTCTCTCTCTCTCTCTCTCTTTCTCTCTCTCTCTCTCTCTCTTTCCTCTCTCTCTCTCTGTCTGGAAACCTCGCTCCCCAAACCCACGTCCTCATACCCTTCGAGGTCGTCAACCTGCAGCCCATAGCCGGAGAAGGAAAAGAACAGCACGTCGCCAGGACGCGCGCCCCTCACCTGCGGGTGTCTTTTGATATTGGTCCGCGTCCTGCGCCACGTCCTATATTTCCCTTCTCCTCATGCACCTCGTCTTCGGAGCCATCATCCACAATGTATACTGATACAGAATCATACTACGAGTGCGTAGTAGAACAATGACTTGACCCCTCCCTCATGCAACTGCAGCGGCAATAGCAAAACCAGTGCTGCGACCTTCCAAATCTTGCCAACGTCCTTAGGAGAGTGAATAGAAGTTATGACCAATAGATGCAAGTGCGCACCAGGGAAGCGAGCTTCCGCTGCTTGACTGCAAAGGACTGACTTCAGACTCGTATGGTCACTAGTGAGGAATAGATGGGAAATAGCTCGGACTGGCATTGAAATTCGACGGGACTTCCGCGCTTATGGACTGCTGGTTTGGGACCTTGTGGAAATGGTGTACGAGCCGTCTTTTGTTAGGTTTCCCCTTTCCCTACGAGCTCCAACAGGAGCTCGAGTAGAACACGAATGGGAACTGCACTCGGAAGTCCTGCAGCATTCATGTGGGATCCCACCGATCTCTTTTAGAAACCACCAGATATCCTAAGGAATGGTTAGGATCCCCTGAAAATTTGTATTACTGCTTAAGACTTCCGAAGGCAAACGTAAGTCCAAGAGAACCTCACCTCGTACACATTTCTCGGGGAGGAGAAAATGAGGGAGGAGAGAATGCGGGGAGGAGGGGCGAGGATGGGGTGGGAGGAAGAGGAGCCCGATGGAGGATGAAAGAAGGAAGCAGGGGAGGCCGAGGAGAGGCGAAGAGAACAGGTGAGGAGGTGGTGAATGGAGAAGGCGGAAGAAGAGCGACAAGCCTGAGGAGGAGAAGGAGGAGGAGGAGGAGGGGGAGAGGGAAGGAGGGAAGGAGGGAGGGAGAGGGGAGGCAGGAGGATCACGGCCTCATCGCCTCCCCACCTGCCTCCTCCCCATCCCCCCGTCGCGCGTCGCTTCTCCCGCACGTCCCACGCCGCTCCGCCTTGCGCGCGACGCGCTCGAGAGGCCTGGCGTGAGCAGGGGGCCGCCGAGGCATGTCCTGGGTATGGCGCCGACGGCGTCGCGCATCAGCGCGCTCTGTCGCAGCACGCGTCCGCGGGGACTCCCGACAGGAAGGAAGCGAAGGAGGAGGAGGAGGAGGAGGAGGTGGACCGAGGTTAACGACCGAAGGGTCGAACCTACCGTGAGGTCCGCAGGTAGAGGACAATGAGGAGAAGAGGTGGAGATCTTCTCCCCTCTCCCCCGCTGAAGGTCGGGCGCTGATGTATCCACTACCTGAGCCGAGGGGAATAGCAGGAAAGATGGGTAGAAGGAGGAGAGGAGCGGTCTTCACACACTGAGGAGGAGGAAGTGCCGCATTTGCCTCGACTGGCTCTCGTCCGATCGATGTCGACGGGGGAATTCGGGTCACCTCCACCTGACAGGCCAGCCGCAACAGGCGAAGCCGTGGTCCTGAACACCTCTTTCGAGGGATCGTCGACGTGATGGGTCCGCCCGCCCAAAGGGGGAGGCAGGCGCCCGTACGAGCGGAAAACCGACTCGGGTGTGCTGGCCCCAAGGCGCTTCGAAGTGCATCACGGCTGAAGCCGAAGCTTCCTGATGAAGTGCCACAGAAAAGGAGAGGGCCTGCCCTGCCGGTTCCCTTGACAGCACATCGTTGAGCGGAGCTGCAACCTTCCCCGAGCATAGGCGCCCCTGGAGCAGCAGCAAGACAAGTCGGCTTTGCACCCTCATGCCGAGGAAGAGGAGCCGTAGGAGGCAGAGGAGGAGAAGGAGGAGGAGGAGGAGGAGTCCAGGTCCACATCCACTGCCATTCCTCCTCCCTTCCCGCATTTTCATTCCCTCCGTTCGCCTTCCCCCTCCTTCCCCCTCCCTCCCCTTCCCTCCACATGTCTACCCGAACCCCAACTCCCTCGCCCAAGCCTCCCTTTGCCCTTCTACTCCCTGCTGCCCCTCAACACCGCAGCCCCCTTCGCACACTGCCCGGTCTCCACATTCGCGATCCCTCGATTTCCTACGCGGTGCCCGCACTGTCCGGGTCCTCCTCACCCTTCCCATCTGGCGAGGGTGGGGGCCCCTTTTTTCCGAAGGCTCCCCTGCACCAGCCACTGCAGCTGCTGTAGGATGACGGCTCTCGTTGGGCACCTGGGGGCAGTTACACCATGCCAGCACTCGCCTGAGAATAGAAAAGTGAACGAGGAACCGCACGATCACAAAATCAGGGTAAGCAAGAAAGCGCGACGGCGGACTGTGCACATGGGAACTGAAACCTTGGGGGTGATAAAAGCCGTGCTGAAACAGGGGAGGAGGAGGAGAGAAAGCAGCGAGAGCGAGAGGCAGGAGGGAAGGGAGGAGGGTAACGACGAGCACATATCATTTAAGGGAGTTTTCTGTGGGCCCCAGCGAACAAGAAAGTGAGACGAACAACTGCGCTTCCTGTACTGTTTCTGGCGAGTCTGAATGAATCCAGCGCGGAATCTCCAAGCTGGCGCACTCGCTCGGGACATCCTCGCACAGTCGGCCCCAGGGCAAGGGGAAAAGCGCATGATCTCGGTGCACTTGTATCTATACACCTATGTGCATGCGTACTATCAAAACTAGACTTACAAGCATACATATACCTAGACATATGCATATACATCTACATATACATATACATACATGTACGTACACATATACGTATACATATACGTATACATTTACATTTACATGTACATGTACATGTAAATGTACATGGACATGCACATGTACATATACATATACACATACCTAAACATATACAGGTATATCTATAAATATACATACATATATATATATGTACACATACTTACACGTTTACGTATGCATATTCAAGACCATATACATAAATATATACATATGCGAATACATATGCATATGCAGAAACATGTATGTATGTGGCTAAACATATACACTCACCTACACAAATACAAATACGAAACAAACTTATACCTATACATATGCATATACACAAACATGTACATATACACATGCATACGCGTATCCAGATACATGTATATGTAAATAGACATATGCGTATACATTCACATATCATATGTATATACAAATACGTCTACATATGCAACCATATCTATAGTCACCTATACATAAGCATGCATATACACATGCACATATGCATATGCAGATATGTAGACACGCACGTAAACATATACGTATACATGTACAGTTGCAGTTGTATTTACATGTACGAATACATAAACATATACGTATATATATATATACATGTACACTACTACATATACATGCACATGTACATGTATAAGATATAGACATAAACCTAGACACATTCATGTACACAAGCCTAAACATCAGATGCATGAACAAATATATATATATATATGTATATAAATATATGTATATATACACGTACATATAAATATATACATATATGCAAACGTATACATATACATGTACATATACATATACATATACAAAGATAGGTGTGCATTTTTATATATATATATATATATATATATATATATATGCATGGATGTACGTGCATGCATGTACATAAGCAGGAACAAATACAACTATATATACAAGTACCAACATCTATATATTTATATACACCTATACATATACATATGCGTATATATATATGTACAGTAAACGATATGCATATGCATATACATAAACATATACACATACAAACACGTATACATATAAACAAGCACATATGTACCCGCCACAGTGCATGCAGCACGTTGAGGCGTGAGATAATGCCAAGGAGTGCCTGGCAGGGTTTCTGTAGTCTTCTAAGAGACTCCCTTCAGCGCTGAGCACCCAACCACCTGGACCACCCCTACTCCAGGGGGGGTCCCTGGGCGGACATGGCGCCGCCCTGGGGCTTCCTCCTTTCCCGTTTCCCTCCTTGTTTGCATCTCCCCTCCCTTCCTCATCGCCCTTTTCCTCCTCCTCATCCTCCTCATCCTCCTCCTCCTCCTCCTCCCCACCACCACTCCTCCCTCGTTCCTTCCTATTCTCCCTCGTTCTCAATTTCCTCCTCCCCCTCCCACCTTCACCCTTCTCCAATCTTCGAAATGGCGTCCTGGCGGGCTCCACCTTCACTGACTTCTTCTGCCCAGGGTAGATGTCGTGCAGGACGCACACGTTGCCTGGATCGAAGCCCATGTGCTCCTGTCAAGCCAAGCCCGCTATGTAACTCATCCCCTCTCCTCCTCCCCCGCCTCCTCCTCCTCCTCCATCATCACCATCACCATCATCATCATCATCATCATCATCATCATCATCATCATCATCATCATCATCATCATCATCATCATCATCATCATCATCATCATCATCATCATCATCATCATCATCATCATCATCATCATCATCATCATCATCATCATCATCATCATCATCATCATCATCATCATCATCATCATCATCATCAGCATCATCATCATCAGCATCATCATCATCATCATCATCATCATCATCATCATCATCATCATCATCATCATCATCATCATCAGCATCATCATCATCATCATCATCATCATCATCATCATCATCAGCATCATCATCATCATCATCATAATCAGTCATCTCATCTTCATCATCATCATCACCATCGTCATCAGCATCAGCATCAGCATCATCAGCATCATAATCGTCAGCAGCATCATCATCATCAGCATCATCATCATCATCCTTCTCCTCCTCCTCCTCCTCATCATCATCATCATCATCATCATCATCATCATCATCATCATCATCATCATCATCATCATCATCATCATCATCATCATCATCATCATCATCATCATCATCATCATCATCATCATCATCATCATCATCATCATCATCATCATCATCATCATCATCATCATCATCATCATCTGCGTTTTCCTCCTTAGCCCTTCTGGCTCAAGGCGGCCTGTCAGGTCAATCTGTATGGGGGAATCCTGACCTGGCGCTGTGACTAGCATCTAGACGGCTCATCCTCATCGTCCTGCCGTGAGCAGCCCCACAGGATGAGGCCAACGAGTGTAGGATAAGTGGATACGCGGTCCGTCGCACCGCGCCTGCCACAGGAAGGTCTACCATGGAGAGCTTCACCACTGAAATGGGAGGCCGAGAATTTACGAGTGAATATGTCTGCTGGTTCTGGAAGTACACAGCTGCAGCAGCGGTCACAGCGGCAGCAGGAGCAGGATCGCCGAGCGACGGAAGCCGTGCCATATAGGACCGAGTATTATTATGACGCGCGGTGCACGCCCAATCGGACGAGAAAGAGACGTGGCCAGAGCACCATGAGATCGTGCAGGCACTGGGCGGTCCTCCAGAGGACAAGCTCGAGACCTAGCGCCCGAGGTACATGCGACACGTCCAAGAGATATTATCGATTGACCAGACCATCTGGCCTCTGGCACTGAAAAGCCATACTTGTAAAGCAAGGGACATCAGTCATCAGACTGAGACATTGGTGGCGCGGCATTCAGCAATACGTCTTCTGAATGTTAGCGAGCGTCCAGACGCCCAGGAACATGCGACAGAGCCTTAAATCCAGGGGTGTTGTTGAACATTTCCAGCACATCATTCTTCAGCCCGCCCTTAAAATATACTCCACCTTCTACGCAGTCCACACCCAGAAAGTGCTGACGAGCAAGCACCAAAGTGGTCGAGACGATCCATTTGGGCTTTCCCTGCGATTCGAATGAGTTCGTGGGACTGGCGAATCAGCATCACGCTCAGTCGCTCGCCGACCCCAGCTCAGTTCGTGAACCAGTCGCATATCATGGAGCGGCCAAGTTGGCTTCCAAATTCAGGCAGGCCAGGCATCTTCGTCAGGACACTCTCACGGGTCTTCCTCTTGGCTCTCCACATCGAGTCGGGCACGGCCAAGTCCAAGAAGGTACGGAAAGGCCAGTGTTACTGGGCTGCACAACGAACCTGTCGAACAGCTCGAACCAAGAGTCTGCCGTGGACAGGGAAGAAGCAATCTGGGTTTTGAGCCGCTTGGGGCTGGCAGGTTCCAGAGTTTGACGCTTCGAAACCTTCCCCATTGACATCACTCCTGAATCCTACGGCGTGCATCTTTGCCTCGATGCAAGAGGCGGTCTTTCGCATGAAGGCTGAAGATTTGAAACAGATCTACACGTATGAATGCTTGGACCACCCTCGGAGGTACGTCCTCTGGTTCCCGGAGATCCCTCTGGCAGCCAGGCTTTTTTTGCTGGAGACCAAGTTGGGAACGCTCGACTGCAGAACTCCATAGATACGCTCCACTGGAGACTCCATTCGATGAGAGGAAGAGAAACTGAAGGAAGCGAAGAAGAAAAGAGGGAAAGAGAGAGAGAGAGAGAGAAAAAAAAAAAAAGAGACAAAAAAAAAAGGAGGACGACGACGAGCGACAGGCAGAGGAGAAGCAGCACGACGAGCAGGCCGACATCGGAGAGGAATCGTAGCCGTGCTACCGAGGATTCGGAAGGTCGTACGACCTGCAGAAACAGAGATGGCCAGCACCCGAAAATCCCAATGGCCCCCCTCGCACTCACACGCTCGATCTTGCCGCCGCTCGCTCTCTCGCTGGCTCGCTCCTTGCGAGTGGCCATCGACCTCGCAGTGGCACGCCAGCCCAAAAAACTAACAACAACAACAACAACAACAACAACAACAACAACAACAACAACAACAACAACAACAACAACAACAACAACAACAACAACAACAACAACAACAACAACAACAACAACAACAACAACAACAACAACAACAACAACAACAACAACAACAACAACAACAACAACAACAACAACAACAACAACAACAACACAACAACAACAACAACAACAACGTCCCCATACTATTTGTTGATGGACACGCCCGACTGAACTGTAGGCACGAAAAACAAGAAGCTCCCCCATCGGTGCACGCATAAAACACGTTGCAGTCAAGCTGGAAAAAAGGGAGTTGGACACTCCGTGAAAATAAAAAAGCCAAGACTAGAAGACCTGCAAAGTCTGAAGCGAGTCCGAAACGGCCAGGCCGAGGTCGCCGGGGCTGGAACAACTAGAGAAGCAAACTGGCCGGGGCGGGAAGAGCTGAAGGGCTGGCCCCAGCAATTTTTCCCAGTGTACGTCCATACAACTGTGATAAACCACGTAAGTTCCCATCCATCCTGTGGTGTTGGGCCTTCGCTTTGAATCAGAAGCACCGCGTGCCACCTTTACTCCCGATGCCCCCTCCTCCTCCCCCTCCTTCTCCTCCTCCTCAATCCGATGTCCTTATAAACAACTCCTCCCTGACGCACCCCCAGACATGTTAGTAGGGCGGGCCGGGCGTTTCGCCAGAGACATCCTCACCACTCACGATCCTGAAACTCGAATTTTGCATCAACTTCACGGATGGAGGGCGAGTCGTTTTCAACACGTGGCTCTCGTCTTAGCGCCGCACGTCCGTCTTTTTTGCAGCAGCTTCACGGGTGGAGGGCGGGTCGTCTGCAAAATGTGGCCCTCGCCCTGAACGCCACGCACATTCGTCTGAAAAGTCTGCGACAGCTTCAAGGATGGAGGGCGGATACGTTTCAAAATGTGGCTCTCGCCTCAGCGCCGCACACATTCGTCTTCAGATGGAAGGCGGTTCCTTTTCAAAATGTGGTTCTCGTCTCAGCGGTACGCATGTTCGTCTTGAACGTTTGCCCCAGTTTCACGGATTCGCATGGTTGAGGTCCCAAACATGGTGTCCTGGCACGAGTTGAGAGTGCAAGGACGCAACCGCAAGAATGTTGATGCGCGGTGTTGAAGTCCCAGAGCAGGTGCTATGGCGCGATGTATTGTCAGGGCGCAGCCGTCAGGTTGGTTCGCGGCGATGAAGTCCCAGGAACTGCGTGCTGGCACGATTGAAGATTATCATATAGTTGTCTTACAGTGGGACACTTCTCGCAATGAAAATATCCTGTAGGGACATATGAAGAAGGAACCTGGAGGGAGGATGTGTTGCGGCATCGTCGGTGCGGCTTGTGCCTGCAGTGGTTCTGCTCCTCCCAATCCTCCTCCTCCCCCTCCTCCTCCTCCGCCTCCGCCTCCTCCTCCTCCTCCGCCTCCTCCTCCTCCTCCCCCTCCTCCTCCTCCTCCTCCTCTTCTCCTCGCCTCAGCGCTCTCGTCGTCGGCACACCCCTCACACGCGCCGTGGCCCCATGGGGGGCTCGTGCCGAAGGCCCCGAAGGCACGGGGCGCCCGGCGCGCCCCCGCCGTGGCGGGACCCGCGCGGCGCCCCCCCCGCTGAGCCGCAGCCTCGCACGCTTCGGTGGCGCTCCGCCGAAGGCCCCCAGCGGGCCAGGCCCGCAGGGCGTCCCCCCGCCCGTGTCGGCACACCCCTCGCACGCTCCGCGGCCCGATGGAAGCTCCACCGAGGGCCACAGCTAGGGGGCCACATGCGAACCCTAACTGTGGCACTCGGTGGAACTTCCTCGGCGCCCAAGTCGGCACTCCACGTCGCTGCCGTGCCCTCGAGAAATATGTCTGGATCACTCTAACGAGCGAAGTGAACCCCACCCTCCCCCTCAGAAATCGTGGGAGGTAGGGGTAGGGTTCGCATGTGGCCCCCTGACAGTGGGTGCGTCCGCATGGCGCGGCCCCGCCCCACTTCGGCACACCCCTCACACCGTTCGTGGCCCCCTGGGGAGCTCCGCAGACGCCTCAGCGGGCATGCTCGCATGGCGTCCCCGCGCCCACGTTGGCGTACACTCCACACGTTCCGTGGCCCCGAGGGAACTCCACCCACGGTCTTAGCGGGCGCGATCGCATGTCGCCTCCGCTTCGTTTCGGCGCACCCCTCACCCGCTTCGTGGCCCCCATCCGCACTGCCCACAGCTCCATCCCTCTCGAGGCGCGTTGACCATGAGGAGGGGTCATATCCTGCGCTCCTCGCGGCTGAACAGGGTTGGGCCCTTGGCCTGGCTCATGTATCACACGTGTGGAAGACGCAGCACCACCAGACTGTCGAACCACTTGGCACTCTGCTCAGCGCAGGGGTCTAGGTTGGAAAATGGACCGATACGAACAAGCCCCCAGCAAAGCATATCCCACAGAGGGGGAGAGGAAAGAGGAAAGGAGGGAAGAGAGGACTACTCTTGAGATAAGTGGTCCTAGACATCAGGGTCCAGACCGTTCATGCGGGTGGTCTTGATCCTGCTTCCTCCACCTGCAACCGCTACTGGCGATCCCCCACTCCTGCAGGCAACCCGCGATGAGGAAGGCATCGTTCACGGCACCCGCGAGGCCGAAAGCCTGGACGGCCGACCAACCATCCATGTTTGTTCGCCGCACACACACACACACACACACGAACATGAGGATGAATGAACAACTTGTGCATGCAACTGAAAAACGCACACCGGTCATGTATACATGCTGTGACACACCCTTACATGTGAAGACCTACACACACACATATCTATATATAGAACAACAATATATATATATATATACATACATACATACATACATACATACGTACATACATACATAAAAATATGCATGCATACACACACATACACATATACATACACAGATATGCACATACACACATTCATACACACACGCATACACATACACCTACACCTACACACACACATATGCATACATATATGCATATACATGTACATGTACACATATGCATATACACGTGCATAGACATAGACACAGACATGTGTTGCTACATGCTCATGTTCAGATGCAGATACGTAAACATGTCCTTACATATACACCTAAACAGATACAGATACACATATGTGCATATACATGTTAATGGATATACCTAAACATAGACATATACATATGCATATACATGTACCTAGACCCGTACCTAGACATAGAACTACACCTATACACATACATGTAAATAAGCACAAACATGAGCATAAACATACACATGTACATTTACGTGTACAAATAAAAACACACTAACATGTGCATACACAGAACTTTACCAATGCACATGCATACGCGTATACATACACATATACATTTCTGTCAATACCTACACAAACATATACATGCACATATGAATATACATATACATGTACATGAACGTCTACATATACATATACGAATACATATACATGTACATATCCATATACATCTACAAATACATATACATACATATGTATATTCACATCTACATAAACGTGTACATAGACATATGTATATATATATATGTATATTTACATGTTCCCAAACAGCGCTTGCACTTAGGAGTCTTACTTGGCTGCTCAGAAAACTGGGCCTGCGCGAGGTCTGGCGTCTGTGGTCGCCGTCGCCGCCCCGTCGCCGCCCCGTCGCCGCCTCGTCGCCGCCCGTCGTCTGGGCCTCGCGTCGGGTCCGCCGTCTTATGGTTACCGTCACCGCCTCGTCGCCGCCTCGTCGCCTCCTCGTCGCCGCCCGTCGTCTGGGCCAAAATGGCGGTCCGGCCGCCGTCGCCGCCCCGTCGCCGCCCCGTCGCCGCGTCGTCGCCGCCCGCCACTTTGCCGCCGCATTGCTCTGCATTGCTTCGCATTTCTCTACGTTGCTGCGCACTGTTGCGCATTATCTTGAATTTCTTGGCACTGCATCACAGTACGTCACATTAATGTGCATTGCTTCCTTTCTTTATTTGCGTTACGTAGCATGGGGTTACAATTATTTGCATTGTGTTGGTTGCATTATTGTGCATTGCTTTGAATTAGCAGTACATTGCTTCGCATTGATTTTGCGTTGCTTTGAATTGCAACACATTGCCCTGCGTTGCTTGGCATAAATGTGGCTTGCTCTGCTGTGGCTTACATTAATTTACGTCATGTTGTTTTGGTCCGCGTTGGTTTTCATTGCAACGCATGGTTTTGCATTGTTTGTATTGCGTTGCGCTGCATTGCGTTGCATAGCTTTGCATTGCTTTGCATTGCTTTGCATTGCTTTGGATGGCTTTCCATTGTTTTGCGTTACATTGCTTTACAGTGCTTACACTTAGGGGTTCTTACTTGTTCTCGAATGTCCTACGCATCGCTGGCACTTATGGCGCCGTGTTCGATACGGAGCTGAACTCCGCTGCTGGGTCCGCCGCCTTGTGGTCGCTGTGGCAGGCACGCCGCCTTGTGGTCGCCGTCGCGGCCCCGTCGCCGCCTCGTCGCCGCCCGTCGTCTGGGTTCCGCTGTCGGGTCCACCGTCCTGTGGCCGCCGTCGCCGCCCCATCGCCGCCCCGTCGCCGCCGCCCCTCTGCACTTCCCCCCCCCCCTCCCTCCCGTTGTAATCGGACCGTTGCAAAATTCAATCGATTATAATCCCAGCGATTGGACTGCAAATCCAGGCCCAAGTGCGGCTCCGTTTCCGCCGCAGTGTGTGTGTGTGTATCATTGCGTCGCCGTGCTGCGCTTTTGTTCACATTGTTTTGCATTGACGTGCATCACCTTGCATTACTCTGAACTGCTTCGCTTTGCACAGCTTTGCATTGGTGCGTATTGAGTTTCATTCCCTACCTAGGCTCTGCCTGGAAGGGTTCTTACTCTCTTGGCTTAAAGGGCCGGGCAGTGCGCCCCGCCCCGGGCGGTTCCCCCAGGATCCGCCCCGCGGTTCCCCCAGTTGCGCCCCCTTAGCTTAGCTTTGCTTATCTCATCTTAGCTTAGCCTAACTAAACTTAGCTTAGCTTAGCTTAGCCTAGCCTAGCCTAGCTTAGCTTAGCGTAGCTTAGCTTAGCCTAGCCTAGCCTAGCCTAGCTTAGCTTAGCGTAGCTTTGCTCAGCTTAGTTTAGCGCAGCGCAGCATTAGCATGAGCATTAGCATTAGCATTAGCAGTAGCAGTAGCAGCAGCAGTAGCATAGCATAGCATAGCATAGCATAGCATAGCACTAGCTTAGCTTAGCATAGCACAGCGCAGCCTAGCATAGCATAGCACAGCATAGCACAGCACAGCATAGCATAGCATAGCATAGCATAGCATGACATCGCGCAGCATAGCATAGCATAGCATAGCGCAGCATAGCATAACATAGCACAGCATAGCATGGCATAGCACAGCATAGTATAGCGCAGTATAGCATATCATGACATAGCCTAGCATAGCATAACATAGCGAAGCATATCATAGCATAGCATAACATAGCGCAGCATAGGCAAGGCAAAACAACAAAGGCAAAGCCATGGCAAGGCATAGGCATAGTATAGCAAAAGCAAAGGCAAGACAATGTAAAGCAAAAGCAAAACCAATGCGAAAGTGTAGATGTAGGTATAGATGTAGGTGTAGGTGTAGATGTGGATGTAGGTCTAAATGTAGATGTAGATGCAGATGCAGATGTAGGTGTAGATGTAGGTGTAGATGTAGATGTAGATGTAAATGTGAGTCTCGCTATTGATGTTGATGTAGATGTAGATGCAGGTGTAGATGTCCATGTAGCTGTCGGTGTAGATGTAGATGTTGCTTTCCTAGATGCTCCAATTCCTAGGTAGGGTCGCACTGGGATAATTGCTCGGTATTGCTTGGCACCGATTGCAGGTGCGGTACATTGCGTTGCGTTACGTTGCAATGGTTTGCATTGCGTTGCATTGTGTTGAGTTGCGTTGCACACCGAGATGCACCACATGAATTGCAGCACCTAGTCTCCATCACACTGACTGCATCAACCAGATTGTACCGCACATGCTGCAAGAGAATCACTGCTTGGGGTCCACGCTGGCTAACATTTGCGTATATGCATAAACGTATACGTGTATATACATATGGGTGTGTTAACCGCTCGAGCGCTTCAGCGACACATACGCAAAAAGCTCGAACTTGGTCTGCTCTGCCGCTTGATTGTAGTACCAAATGATGTCCCAGTCGCTTCCTGCACCTTCGACCCGCGCACGTTCGAGCCATGGGACTATGGTCCCAAGCGCGTTGGGAGACCACGGAAGGCTAGAGAATGGTACGAGTCAACCACCGACACACTCTGGCGGATCTCGGTAGTGCCACCGTGGCCATGGCTCGAGAGCACAGCGATCGAACTCACGCTGACTGCTCACAGACTGCTTCTACGAGCCGCGGCGTGACGAAGGATGCGGGGACCCCACCCCAAAATCTACCGATACCGCTTCCCTCCCCCCCACCCGACCCCACCCCATACCCACCCCCGCCCCGCCTCCCGTCCCGCAAGCAAGGACGTGGGGTGGGGACTCGCCTCTGCAACAGATGGGCATGCGCAGGCTGACCAGAATTCTTTACACTCTTTCGCCCACCCTGCCCACCCTGCCTGGACAGCCCAAGCTCCCTCCCATCCAGCCGTCGCGGCTCCGTTCCCGCCCCTCCCTCCCCCTCCCCCTCTCCTCTACCTCTGTTCACCCCCACCCACCTCCCTCTCCCCCCTTTTCCCCTCCCTCCCCCTCCTTTCCCCATGGGGGGAGAGAATGTTCCAAAGGTGACCAGTGTAGGACCCTGGCCAGGCCACCAGAGGCCTGCGCAGGAGGCTACCCTGGCACATGTGACCGGCTACGGGAGGCATATGTTCGGCCCCTTCCCTTGGCCGCCGACAGTTGTATAGCTTTCGACACGGCACGGCGCTCCTTGGCGCGAAGCGGGTTCGAGGCGGCCGAGCCTCGAGCAAAAAATGTGTGCACATGGACTGTTGTGTGTGCCTGAAAATGCGCAATGCCTCCAAAAAACGACTCGCGCGTACTTGCTACCGTGTCATGAAAAATTTATACCCCGAACCCTCGAGTCCTGGCCTCTTCGCTTGTGAACGTACCTCTTTGGGGGGAATTGTTTTGCACGCCAGCTCCTGGATAACCCCGTCAGGGTAACACACAAGTCAGGCTGGCGGACCCTAACGGGCGGGTCGGGCGGACAATCCACAATAGGCGGGTCGGGCGGGCGAGCGAAACATTAGAGCGGGCGGGTCGGGGTCGGGCGGGCGAACCCTGACGGACGGGTCGGACGGGCGGACCCTTACGGGCGGGTCGGGCGGGCGGGATACTAAAGCACGAGTCCTGCACAAATCTTGGGGAGGGCGGTAATCATTGTACTCAGGATGATGCAGGAAAGACGGGCGGCAGTGAAGATGAAGCAGAATGATGGGGGATTCATGGATGGATAAAGGCAGGGCACGTGGAGGAGAAGGAGAAGAATCAGGTCGGGAGCATGAGAAAAGATAAAGATGATGAGGGGGTGAGTTGGGAAGGGAGGCAGGGGGAGGATAGGAAAATGACGAAGAGGAAGACCGAGCACAACTGGGGAGGAATAGGGAGAAGGAAGGAGATAAGGCTGCTTGTTGAGTTTCTGCATTC